CCTGAACTCTGGGCCTGGGCACTGTCCCTCAGCTCTTCAGCTCAAGGCTAGCGCTCTACCACTTGAGCCACAGTGCCACTTCCGGCTTTTTTCTTTTTTCTTATGTGGTGCTGAGGAATCGAACCCAGGGCCTCAGGCATGCAAGGCAAGTGCTCTACCACTGAGCCATCTTCCCAGCCCCTCGTTCACTTTTTGAGAAAAGGTCATGTATCCTAGGCTAGCCTAGAAATTGCTTTGTAGTTCAGGCTAACTACACTCTCCATCCTCCTACCTCATCTTCCCAAGTATTGAGATTACAGGCACATACCAACATGTCTGATTCATTATCCATTTTTTTTTCCTTCCTCCTCCTTCTCTTCCTCTTCTTTACTGGTCTTGGAGCTTGAACTCAGGACCTGCATGTTGTCCCTGAGCCTCTTTGTGTTCGAGGCTAGCACTCTACCACTTGAACAATAGCTCCACTTCTGGCCTTTTCTGGGGTAGTTTATTGGAGATAAGAGTCCAGTCTCACACTTTGCCCCCCAGGCTGCCTCTGAACTGGGATCCTCAGATCTTAGCCTCCTGAGTAGCTAAGATTACAGGCTTTAGCCATTAGTTCCTGGCTTTCATTTTTCTCTATTTGCTTGTTGCCAAGGTATGTGGGGAAAACATTTTATTGTATGCTATGCTAACTTTATACACTTGATGACTGTTTAGGTAGTCTTGTTAAACTTTTAATTTTTATTTCTTAGGAAACACGAACCCTTGCGGAGATCGCCAAAGTGGAGCTGGACAACATGCCACTCCGTGGAAAACAGCTGCGTGTGCGCTTTGCCTGCCACAGTGCATCCCTTACTGTCCGAAACCTTCCTCAGTATGTGTCCAATGAGCTTTTGGAAGAAGCCTTTTCTGTGTTTGGCCAAGTGGAGAGGGCTGTAGTCATTGTGGATGACCGAGGAAGGCCCTCAGGAAAAGGCATCGTTGAGTTCTCAGGGAAGCCAGCTGCTCGGAAAGCTCTGGACAGATGCAGTGAAGGTTCCTTCCTGCTAACCACGTAAGTGAAGGAAGGATCTGAAAAACAAAGCATGGGTTCCTGAGTGAGCATCTAGTAGCGATGTTAACTATGTTCATTTAAAGCTTTTAGATATGAATTGACCTTTTCTAGTAGGGGTTTTATCCATACATACATAATACCTACAAGTGTGTAGTGTATGTATATATATATATACATATATGTATTTATGTGTATATATCATGCATGTACATAATCACCTGCAAAAAAGTTAAAAATGCATATATATAGTTTAGATACTAATTCACCTAGTAGTGTTTTTATACATGCATGCAAATCACATGTATGGTATATGTATGTATTTCTGTGTATATATTAAGTACATATTTTGTGTATATTGTGTGTAAATATACGTATATAATACATGTAGTACAAATACCTGCAAAAAAGTGAAAAACTTGGTATATTTTTTTTGTGTAGTATTGAGGTTTTAATTCAGGGCCTCACTAGGCAAGCAGTCTACCACTTAAGTTCATTATATATGTAAATTGTGGTAGTACTGGGGATTGGAACCAGGGCCTCGTGCTTGTTAGGCAAGCACTTATTCCTTTATTTATTTATTTACTTTTTTGTCGGTCATGGGGCTTGAACTCCAGGCCTGGGTGCTGTCTCTCAGCTCTTTAGCTCAAGGCAAGCACTCTACCACTTGAGCCACAGAACCACTTCCAGTTTTCTGAGTGGTTTATTGGAGATAAAAGTCTCACGGAGTTTCCTGCCCAGGCTGGCTTTGAACAGTGATCCTCAGAACTCAGCCTTCTGAGTAGCTAGGATTACAGGCATGAGCTACTGACACCAGGCTCCTTTTGTTCTTAATTTGTTTTTTGTTTGTTTGGTTTTTGTTTTGTCGGTCATGGGACTTGAACGCTAGGCCTGAGTGCTGTCTCTCTGCTCTTTAGCTCAAGGCTAGCGCCCTACCACTTGAGCCATGCGCCACTTCCAGCTTTTTTCTTTTTGCTTATGTGGTGCTGAGGAATCAAACCCAGGGCTTCAGGCATGCAAGGCAAGCGCTCTACCACTGAGCCACCTTCCCAGCCCTGTTCTTATTTGGGTTTTAAGATAGGGTAGGGTCTAAGTTTGCCTGGACTGGTTTCAAACTTTGAAAGGCTAAGATGAGACATCTGAAGCCTGACCCCATCCTGTTAGCCCCAAATTCACAATAGTGCCATTAAAAGGACTTGGTTACTTCAGGTCAGGTGTAAAGAACCCTGGGAATATGCTCAGTTGCCCAGTGGTGAAACTTATTAGGTCATTGCACCATGACAGGTGTCAGGAGGCTGCCTAGTGTTGTATGATTACCACTTAACTTCCTTCTTTCATCCAGATTTCCTCGGCCTGTGACTGTGGAACCCATGGACCAGTTAGATGATGAAGAGGGGCTTCCAGAAAAGTTGGTTATAAAAAACCAACAATTTCACAAGTATGTGGTCCTGTTAGTTGTCACCCTATTCTTTTTTTTTATTTCAGTTGTGGATCTTGAACTCTGGGCCTGGGCACTGTCCCTGAGCTCTTCAGCTCAAAGTGAGTGTTCTACCTATTGAGCCACAGCACCACTTCTGGTTTTTTGGTGGTTAATTGGAAATAAGAGTCTCATGGACTTTTCTTCTTGGGCTGGCTTTGAACCACAGTTCTCAGATCTCAGCCTCCTGAGTAGCTGTCATCCTATTCTTGAGGAACCTTCTAAAAGGGTTGTGTAAACAAAGGAAAAGCACAGTCTTTATTATATATATATGGATGCAGTAATCTTGGGAATGTAATCTATAGGGAGCGAGAGCAGCCACCCAGATTTGCACAGCCTGGCTCCTTTGAGTATGAGTATGCCATGCGCTGGAAGGCACTCATTGAAATGGAGAAGCAGCAGCAGGACCAAGTAGATCGTAACATCAAGGAGGCTCGTGAGAAGCTGGAGATGGAGATGGAAGCAGCTCGTCATGAGCACCAGGTCATGCTAATGAGGCAGGGTATGTATAGGCCAGTAAGTCTGAAAACTTTGAAAAAAAAAAACAAATGGCTTTTATTCAGGAATTTATTTGTATCCCTCAGTAAAGAGAGACTTAATCCTCTGCTTTAAGTCTGTGAACTATCTTGTTGAGGACATGATGGGTTTGACTTCCTTTTTGGAATCTGGGCACTTTGGATGGGTATTCAAATTATGTCCTGTCTTTTTGTTTTGTCATGGGACTTGAACTCAGGGCCTGGGCTCTGTCCCTGAGCTCTTTTGCTCCTGGGTAGTGCTTTACACTTTGAGCCATAGCCTCACTTGCCATTTTCTCATGGTTAGAGATAAGAATCACAGACCTGCCTACTCAGGCTGTGTTTGAGAACCATGCCTCCTGAGTAGCTAGAATTACAGACATGGGCCACCAGCACTCAGCTGTTTTTTGTTTTTTTTCTTAAATCCTTGTTAAGGAAATAATATTCTGGACCTGTTGTTTGTAGATTTGATGAGGCGTCAGGAAGAACTTCGGAGAATGGAAGAGCTGCATAACCAAGAAGTTCAAAAACGAAAGCAGCTGGAGCTCAGGTAACTTTTTTTTTTAGCCCTTTTTTTCTGATAGCTGTAAAAGATTAGGAAACCTCACTCTTGGCTTCCTACAACCTTGCTACCTCATACATTGTAAATATATTGGCAAATAATTTGTGGATGCTTCTCAAGTTTAGCTGCCTGTGATCCTAGGACTTAACCTGGGACTCCACTAAAGAGCAAGGAGCCTACTGCTGGTCTCCTGCCACTCCTTTGGGGGTTGCCTTAATTCTGGTGAGCTGTGATAGTTTTCAGTAGGCTCACCTTAGCTTGGACTCGTATAAAGGTAACGTGTTCAAGTTCTGGAATGCCTCTATCTTAAAATATCTTGGTGACTGTATAGGCAGGAGGAGGAGCGCAGGCGCCGTGAGGAAGAAATGCGGCGACAACAAGAAGAAATGATGCGGCGACAGCAGGAAGGATTCAAGGGAACCTTCCCTGATGCGGTATATCTCTCACGTGCCCATGATGTACCAAGCTGGTTGTGATTTGATGAGCCCACCATGGAATGTTTGTTAGGATGCCAAGTTATGACCAGTTTTTCTATGCTCTAAAGTTACCTTTAAAAAAAAAGAGTTCATAGGAAGGAGAGGTAAGGTTTGAAGAGGAATTCTGCCTCCCAGGAAATTTAGGATGGAAATTTTATACTCTGTGACAATCAAGTGTAGCCCACTTGGTTAGGGCACTGCTGTCCTTGCAGTTGTAAGAGTTCGAGCTCTGGAAGAAGACAACTTTCTTTTTCTGTTCCTAATGGGAAACATTGGAACATTCAGGTCAGCTCTGTGACCTAAACTCAGTGTACAACTCACAAGGAGCTTTAGTGTTCCTCAGCTTGCTCTCAGTGCTCTTGGGGTATGTGACCAATGTTAATGTCCCTTAGTGTGTGGTCCTCAGTGGATTGTGGTAGAATACATTGCTGTCTTGGACTGTCTTGAGTATATTTTGTTTTTCAGAGAGAGCAAGAGATACGAATGGGCCAGATGGCTATGGGAGGTAAGGACTTAGGTTTCCTTTTTTGTCACTATAGTGAACTATGTAGCTTCTATCCAAATTTAAAGGGCTGACATTTCCAGGAACATTATTTGGGCAGTGGGTATGAGATAACGTAGCCAACAAGTCTTATTGAGTTCTTTTCCTTTTGTATAGAAAGAAATGGGCAGTCTCCCCTGGACTGATCATGTTCCTCTGCTTTAGGTGCTATGGGCATAAACAATAGAGGCGCCTTGCCCCCTGCTCCTGTGCCAGCTGGTACCCCAGCTCCTCCAGGACCTGCCACTATGATGCCAGATGGAACCTTGGGACTGGTAATAAGCTGCAGGAGACTGGTAATAAACTAAGTGACTAGTAGGAGGAGAAAGGACTTTTTCTTTATAGCATCTGTATTTATCTACTTCAGTTTTACTACAGATGTCAGTTTTAGGACTACTAAAATATAACTTTAAGAGTGTGGGTGGGTGTGTTGGTACTGGGGCTTGAACTCAGGGCTCTATGTTCTTGCTTGGCTCTTTAGCTCAAGACTGGCACTCTACCACTTGAGCCACACAGCTCCACTTCCAGCTTGTTGGTGGTTAATTGGAGATAAGTATCTTATGGACTTTCTTGTCCCAGATGGCTTCGAACCTTGGTCCTCAGATCTCAACCTCCTGAGTAGCTAAGATTGTAGACATGAACCATTTGTTCCCAGCTATGCTCTTTAGTTTTGAAAATGTTTTTCTTTTTGTTTAGCAGTGCTGGGACTTGTACTTGTTAGGCTCTCTACCATGTGAACCATGACTTTGACCTATTTTTAATCTTGAGCAAATTCAATAACTATACTTCTTTTTGTGTCAGTCCTGGGGCTTGGAACTCAGGGACCTGGTCAGCATCCTGAGTAACTAGGATTACAGGCATGAGCCACTGGCACCCAGCTCAAATGTTACTTTTTTTTGGTACCAGTACTGGTGCTTGAATCCAGGGCCTGGTTTGTTGTCCCTGACCATTTTGCCAAAGGCTAGTGCCTAGTGCTCTACCGCTTAAGCCATAGCTCCACTTCTGGCTTCTTTATCCTGGAAATCATAGTCTCTCAAAGTTTCCTGCCCAGTTTGGCTTTGGACCACAATCCTCAGATCTTACCCTTTGAGTAGCTAGGATTGCAGGTGTGAGCCACTGGCTCAATTTATACTTTTCATTTTGGATTTAAGCAACTACTAGTTGCTGCCATGGGTAAGCCACTTTTTTTTCCAGCTAGTCCTGGGGCTTTTGCACAAGTTTAGCACTCTACCACTTGAACCACAACACCACTTTTGGCTTTTTGTTAGTCATGGGGTTTGTGCTCTGGGCCTGAGCACTATCCCTCAGCACTTTAGCTCAAGGCTAGCGTGCTACCACTTGAGGCACAGCACCATTTCCGGTTTTCTAGTGGTTTATTGGAGATGAGTTTCATAGACTTTCCTGCCCAGGCTGGTTTTGAACCTCAGATCTCAGCCTCCTGAATAGCTAGGATTACAGGTGAGAGCCACTGATGCCTGGCATTCTGGCTTTTTGTTGTTGTTGTTGTTGTTTATGTGGTACTGAGTAATTGAACCCAGGGCTTCATGCATGCTGGCAAGCACTCTACCACTAAGTCACATTCCCAGCCAAACCAGTTTTTTTTTAAGGGAGTTGGTTAAGGTTAGGCAATATCACATAAATCGCATGTTAATCAAAGGCTTCATAGCTCATAGGTCCAGGTTGTATTGCTTCTAGTAAGAAAAGGAATCGTAACAATCTGAATAGGCTTCAGTTTCCTGAGAATGGTGGCCTCTAGTTGCTTAGTACAGGAAAAAGAACTTGGATACAAATTATTCAGCTTAGGTATTTAATATGTGAAACTGTTTAGTAGTCAGGAGTGTAGATTAAAAATTAAAGCTAAGCCGGGCGCTGGTGGCTCACGCCTGTAATCCTAGCTACTCAGGAGGCTGAGATCTGAGGATCGCAGTTCAAAGCCAGCCCGGGCAGAAAACTCCGAGAGACTCTTATCTCCAATAAACCACTAGAAAACCAGAAGTGGTGCTGTGGCTCAAGTGGTAGAGCGCTCTCCTTGAGCTGAAGAGTTCAGGGAGAACGCCCAAGCCCAGAGTTCAAGCTCCACGACCAACCAAAAAAACAAAAAAAAAAGTTAAAGCTATTGGGAGAGAGCATGGGAAAAGATGACACTTTCCAAGAAGAAATAAGAGTCATTACCTGACTTTTGTAACTACTCCCTGTGTACATCACCTTTATAACAATAAATTGCTTTTTTAAGCTAGAGGGCTGGGATGTAGTGACAAGGCACTTGGGTCACAAATGCAATGTCCTAGGTTCAATCGCTAGTACCAAAAAGAAAAGACAAAAATAGATACAATTTTAAAACACATAAAACATAGAAGCCAGGCACCAAATGCTCATCCACCTATAATCCTATGTACTTAAGAGACTGAGATCTGAGAATCTTGGTTCTAAGCCAGCTTATTCAAAAAAGTGTGATCTCTATCTCCAGTTAACCACCAAAAAGTCAGAAGTAGGGATGTGGCTCAAATGGTAGAGTTCCAACCTTGAGCAAAAAAGCTAAAGGACAGCATGTAGGCCCTGAGTTCAATACCCAGCACTGCTCCCTCACCCCCCCCAAAAAAATATAAAGGTAGAATGATTAAGTGGGCTCCTAATTCATATAAGCTGCTTCTGTGGTTCATCTAGTAAGAAGAGTTTTTTGTTGTTTTTTTTTTTTAATTTTTTTTCTTTTTTGGTCCTGGGGATTGAACCCGGGACACCTTGCATTTGCAAGGCAAGTGCTTTGCCACTGAGCTCCATCCCAGCCCTGTTTGGGTTTTTTTAATGTGTTTTTTTTGTCTTTTCTCTTTTTCACTAGTGTTCTTGCTTTGTTTTGGTAGTACTAGGGTTTGAGCTCATGCTTTCCAGGCAGATGCACTACCACTTGAATCTACCCCCAGTTTTTGCACTAGCATTTTGAGCTGACTTAGGTACCATATCCATAGCATCTGGAGCATTGAGTAGTTGAATGGAAATGGACCCTAATGGAGAGACTTGTCTGTATAAGTGAATGGAATTTTTAGGGCATAGGTTCTATTGTAATGTTGTTCTCTTTTTCTTTTTTAAGACCCCTCCAACAACTGAACGCTTTGGCCAGGCTGCTACAATGGAAGGAATTGGGGCAATTGGTGGAACTCCTCCTGCATTCAACCGTGCAGCTCCTGGAGCTGAATTTGCTCCAAACAAACGTCGCCGATACTAATAAAATTTGCAGTGTCTAGTTTCCCAAAACCCTTAAAAGAAGGACCCTTTTTGGACTAGCCAGAATTCTACCCTGGAAAAGTGTTAGGGATTATCCCAATAGATAGGTCTTTCCTGCCTGTGTTACTCTGGAGAGTTTACTTGGAGGCCGAGGGCAAGGGAGGGGGTGATAGTTAACCAGTCAGCTCTGTGTGGGTGTGGTATATTGTTAAATCAATCATGTGATGCATTCCTGAAGTCTCCGTGTAATTGTTGGGGTCTGGGGAAACTGTAACAAACTGGATCATTAGCCCTGATAATCTTGATCATTCCACACTTTTTTTGGGTCAATAATGTTTTATTTGTTCTCAACCCTACAACTCTTCAACCCAGAGACACTGCCACATATACCACAAAAACCAAACTTCCCCCAATGACCTAGCCTCATTTCTCCATTCACTCCCAGGTGAGAATTCAGGCAAATGTCCAGAGGTCACAGACTGCATATGTACGGTTTTGTTATAGCCCATATATCACCCCTTCATGTCCTAAGGAAGACATTTTCTCTTAGAGATTTTCATTTTAGCATATCTTAAAAAAAGCAAACTTGTGTTAACTTGGCTCCATCTTTTTCTTGGGTAAGGACAACCCAGGAATTACCTTCTTGTGTCCATGTTGACCTTCACAGCTTTTCTTGATAGGCCTAGAATAAACATGGGAACAGGGTTGCTGTATGCTGATGGTCTGACAGTAGCTCTTAGCCTTGCCTATCTTAGGTAGTTAACGCTGTGCATTTTTTTTTATTGGTGTATTATGTTTGATTGTCCCTAATACCTGAAAATTTGGAGTTTTTCTGAGAAATGGATCAATGATGCAGCATCAACTTATTAAAATACATTTTAAGCCTTTTAATTTTCTGTGCTATTTTTGAAGGGGAAGGGAGGGCGGGGAGTATCTTGGGAGATGAGCAGAAGGCTCTGTAAGGATAAAGCCTTTGACTTTGAAATATTAGTCATCCATCCAGGAAAATATGGGGAGGAGGTAGGATGAGATGCAAGGATCAGTGCTCTTGGTGCTATGTGGAAGTAATGACCATGGCAGTATAGCTGCTCCCCTGAGAGGAATAAATGAATTGGAAGAGTTGAGGTACCCTCATCTAGTTGGGAGAGGTGGTCTCAACTGGTTTATCTGAGCAGCTGTTGATATGTCAGAGGCTTGGAATTGGCAGCATCTAAAACTGTCTCAGCAGTGGTTCGCTGACCTCACCCAAGTTCCAAGCACTACTCTGCCTGATCCTTTTTTCCTGAGCCTCAAAGCTAAAATGCTCCAGAGCTCTTTCCTATTGGCTGAGAAGGCCAATTGAAGTTCCCTTGCCCATGTTAGGAGGTGTACGCCTCCTGAACTAAAGATAGAAACAGCTGGCCCTTCCAGGCAGCTAAAAGCCTCCAGACAGAGGTGTTCCCCACTCTGCAGCCAGACTCCTTGAAATACCCTTTCAGTAATTCTACCAACGCCTCCATGTCTCTACTCTGCCATAACAAAGGCTGTGGGCAACATTTTGATCCTAATACCAACCTTCCTGGTGAGTAAATCATCCTGACCTGGCCAGGGGTTCTGGGTGTTTAGCTGTAGGACTTGTCAAAGAAATGGGATTTCTTTTTTTTAAGTCTTTATTTGGTATAATTTTGATTCAAGTGTCAAGCTTTGTTGGTTTATTGCCTTATATGAAAAGAAACCATAAACATGAACCTGGAGAAAAGGTGACAAGTGACATTTGGTATAGTGGTCTTCGATCTGGTATCCACAGATTCCTGTTGCTATCACCCTGGGGTCCCAATATTCCACGATGCACTTAAGGTGAGGAGTAGGTAATGGGGGATAGCATGAGCATGTCCCAAAGGAAATACACATTTTTAGCTGACCTGGGTCTCTTGTTAAATAGGGTTGGTCATGCTGCCGAAAGCGAACTGTAGATTTCTCAGAGTTCTTAAACATCAAGGTAAATCCTTCCTTGGGTTCTACTCCCAATAGAAGAATTCTATTTCTTTGTTGTTTTCATTTTCTTTTTGTCTTGTTTATCTGTCTTTGCGACGGTGAGGGGAGGCACAGAAATGGAGGGACAAAGGGTGAACAAATGTAGCAGTGGCACCCAATAGACACTTGAAAATGAAGTATACAACTTGTGAGTGGGGAAGGGAGGTAAAAACGGAATGAGTGAGGAAAGGAGTGACATTGTCCAAAAAGAATGTACTCATTGCCTGGCTTACGTAACTGTAACCCCTCTATATCACCTTTATAGTGACAATAAAAAACATTAATTTAAAAGTAAAGAATTCTATTTCTAATCCTTATTTCCTTATCTGTACCAGGGCTGTACTATGGGACCACACTGTGCTGAGAAGTTTGCTGAGACCCCTCAGCCTGAAGACCCTGCTACAAGTTCACTTCTGGAGCAAAAACCTCTGAACACAATTCAAAAGTCAGCAGAAACCTTACAACGAGAAAGGCCTAAGTAATCAGAAGGCCCGAGTTTGTGCTATATTCATGCAGCTTCCTAGAAGTGACTAATGAATCACTGGGGTCAAAGACCTGTGTCAGGTTTTAGATGGTACAATATATTCTGTGCCTTAGAGGAAATCTGTCGGAAATGACCTTTACTCTTAAGGCAGTACGTGAGAGATGGGCTAGATACCTTGAGTCTATGAAATAAGTTGATACCCCCTTAAAATACATATTTAGTATGTAGTGAAAGTGAGATTAAGAATTACTTGATTCTTTTTGTGAAAAGGTCTTACAGTGTAGCCCAATCTGACTTGGAATTCATAATCCTCTCTCAGCCTCGTGAGGGCTGGGATTAGAGGTGTGCATATAACACTATACCTGGCTGAGAATTGAGTTTTTTTTTATTATTTCTAAAAAAGACTTTAAAGAAAAGTGGCTAGTGCTTCTAATTCTAGCTACTTAGAAGGATAAAAGTCTGGAAGATTATGGTTTAAAGCCAGTCCAGGAAGAAAAGTCTGAGAGAATTCTATCTCCAGAATAGCCAGCGATAAAGCAAGATAGAAAGTGGCTCAAGTGATGAGAGTGGCAGTTCAGCAAGCTCAAGACCCTTGAGTTCAATTCTTAATATTGGCAGGGAAAATAAAAATATGAGTAGATAGGGAGCTAAAGAGAATGAATTTTTTGTGTGTATGTGCTAATCCTAGGATTTGAATTCAGAGCTTCGGTGCTATCTCAGCTATTTTTTTTGCGGGGGGCGGGGGGGTCCAGTCGTGGGGCCTGAACTCTGGGCCTGGGCGCTGTCCCTCAGCTCTTCAGCTCAAGGCTAGCGCTCTACCACTTGAGCCACAGCGCCACTTCCGGCTTTTTTCTTTTTGTTTATGTGGTGCTGAGGAATTGAACCCAGGGCCTCAGGCATGCAAGGCAAGCGCTCTACCACTGAGCTACCTTCCCAGCCCCCATATTTTTAAAGATAGTGCTCTATCATTTGAGCCACTGATCCAGTTCTGGCTTTTTTTTTTGGTCATTGTTGGTTAAGTAAAGATAAAAGTATCCTAGACATTCCTAGTCTGGCTGGCTCCAACCTCCAATACACCAGCACCCTGCTGAGAAAATGAATTTTGTGAGGATATGAGCAACAGTTCCATGATTAGACAGGAAGATAAAATGATGTAGTTCTAGAGAAACAGATTGAAAGCAACTGGAAGGCTTAGGGATTTCCCTTGGGTTTGGGTATTTCACAGATGTTCACAGAGATGAAAATTGGCAAAGAGATTACTACTCAACTTGTCCAACTATGACCCATTTTTCCCAGACTTCTTTGCGTCCACTACCAAGGGCAGGAACACTAGAGTTGGCAATCGTGATTAATGGATCAGAACTGAATGACGTGCCTATACCCCTAGGTCAGAGTTGCCTCCAAAACTGCTACCACTAAATATATCTCAAGCCCTGGAAATGGCATTGGAACAAAAAGAACTAGACCAGAAACCTGGGGCAGGTAGGTGGATCTTAAAAGAGAGGCCTCACAGTCTGGGATTTAGTGGAAATTGCAATTAAGGGAAGTAGGTAGGCTTCTGACTCTTGTTTCCCTTTCCCAGGACTTGACAGTAGTCTGATTCGGACTGGTTCGAGCTGCCAAAACCCAGGATGTGATGCTGTAAGACTTTTCAGAGGGGACGGAAAGCTCAAGCATGGGGCTGAGGGATAACAATGGCTAAGAAAAAACTGTAGGTGTAAACTTGAATGCAGTATACTATAGAATGCACTGATTGTTTTCTTGGTTCTCCTTTATCCTTGTTAGGTTTACCAAGGCCCTGAGAATGATGCTACTCCATGTACCTACCACCCAGGAGCACCTCGATTCCATGAGGGGTGAGGGAGGGGAGAGGAAAGTGTTCGGTGGTCTTGAGATGGATTTTTCCCAATGAAGAGTAGGGTGCTGGCCAGGCACCACTGGCTCACACCTGTGATTCTAGTTACTCAGGAGGCTGAGATCTGAGGATCGCAGTTCAAAGCCAGCCTGGGCAGTAATGTCCGTGAGACTCTGATCTCCAATTAACCACCAGAAAACCAGATGTGGCACTGTGGCTTAAGTGGTAGAGCACTAGCCTTGATCTGAAGAGCTCAGGGACAGTGCCCAGGCCTCAAAGAGTAGGGTGCTGGTGGTTGAACCTGTAATTCTAGCTACTTGGGAAGCTGAGATCTGAGGATTGAAGTTCTAAGCCCACCTGGGCAGCAAAGTCCATGAGACTCTTGTTTTGTTTTGTTTTTTGGTCGTTCCTGGGGCTTGAACTCTGGGCCTAGGTGCTGGGCCCTCAGCTCTTCAGCTCAAGGCTAGCACTCTACTACTTGAGCCACAAAGCCACTTCTGGTTTTCTGAAGGGTTTATTGGAGATCAGAATCTCATGGACTTTCCTGCCCAGGGTGACTTTGAACCTCAGTCCTTAGATCTCAGCCTCCTGAGTAGTTAGGATTATAGGTGTGAGCCTCCAGCATCCCGCTTATCCATGAGATTCTTAGCTCCAATTAACCAGCAAAAGGCTGGAAGTAGAGCTGTGGCTCAATTGGTAGAGGACCAGCCTTGAATAGGAAAAGCTCAGGGACAGTTCCGAGGGCTTGAGTTCAAGATGCAAGACTAGTACCAAAAAAAGTAGGAGATTGTTGAGTGGTGGGGGATTTTGTTGAATTATCTTTTTACCTCAGGATGAAGTCTTGGAGCTGTTGTGGCATCCAGACCCTGGATTTTGGGGCATTTTTGGCTCAGCCGGGATGCAGAGTTGGTAGACATGACTGGGGGAAGCAGGTAAGCTGCAACTTTCTGAACTCTTCATTAGAAACTTTTCTCTGTACCTCATTGTCAAGCTCCCTATCTGTTTCCTTTATTATGAATGAAATAAGATTCTGCTCCTATTCCTCGATAGTCTAGAGACCTTGTAACATGAAATATTGTGAATGTCTCTGAGACACTGCAGGTCTTCTCTACATACTCCATGAAATTCTGGAGTTGAGTTCGTTGTTTTTTTGTCCGTAGTGGGGCTTGAACTCTGGGACTGAGCACTGTCCCTCAGCTCTTCAGCTTAAGGCCTAGCACTCTACCATTTCAGCCACAGCACCATTTCCGGTTTTCTAGTGGTTAATTGCAGATAAGAACCTCATGGAGTTTCCTGCCTGGGCTGGTTTTGAACCGTGATCCTCAGATCTCAGCCTCCTGAGTGGCTAGGATTACATGAGTGAGACCAGCTCCCGGTTCAGGAGTTGAGTTTTAACCATCTGCATTTTACATCTCTTTAGCTGCCAGCATCTTGCCGGCATGATTGGCATCAGACAGATTCCTTAGTAGTGGTGACTGTATATGGCCAGATTCCACTTCCTGCATTCAACTGGGTGAAGGCTAGTCAAACTGAGGTGAGGAATGATTTGCTATAGGGTGGGGAGCATAGTGATAGTTGGGTAGCGCTCTACCACTTGAGCCACAGCGCCACTTCCGGCTTTTTTCTTTTTGCTTATGTGGTGCTGAGGAAATGAACCCAGGGCCTCATGCATGCAGGGCAAGCACTCTACCACTGAGCCACCTTCCCAGCCCTCTACTTCAGTTTTTTTGTGCTATTCTTGGGGCTTGAATTCAGGGCCTGGGCAATGTTCCTGAGGGTTTTTGCTCATCTAGTGCTCTACCTCTTGAGCCACAGGTCCATTCTGGCTTTTGTGGTTGTTAATTGGAAATTAGAGTCTCACAGACTTTCCACCTGGGCTGGCTTCAAACTGATCCCCAAAATTTAGCCTTTTGAATACCTAGGATTATAGGTGTGATCCATTGGCACCCAGTTTGTATGATGTGTTCTGACCTTGTATTGCTATTATTTCGTGATTTTTTTTCCCCTCTTAGCTTCATGTCCACCTTGTCTTTGACGGTAACCGCGTGTTCCAAGCAGAGATGAAGCTCTGGGGGGTAAGTCAAAAAGGAACAGAGGATGGGGAGGCAGATGGGGGCAAAGAAGGGCCAGACTGGAGTGATTAGAGAGTGTCCTGACAGAAAGACTTGTACTGGCAAAGTGGAGGTTTTCTGTTCATTTACTTTTATATTCCATTCTTTCTCCTCTGCTGTCTTCCTTCTCCTCCCTCCCCCCCGCCCTTTTCCTTCTTTCCCTCTCTCCTCTTTTTGGCTTTCTTTTTTTTATTTTCCTCTCTTTCATCACTATTCCTTCAACCCCTATTCCTTCGATGTCCTTATTCTGTGTTTCTTCTTTGTTCCTCTCTTTCCCTCTTCAGGTCATTAATGTGGAGCAGAGCTCTGTCTCCTTGATGCCATCTCGGGTTGAAATCTCCCTGGTCAAGGCTGACCCAGGATCCTGGGCCCAGCTGGAGCACCCTGATGCGCTAGCTGAGAAGGCTAGAACAGGAGTTGTCTTAGAGATGGATGAGGAAGAATCTGAGGATTCAGATGATGATCTGAGCTGGACGGAGGAGGAGGAGGAAGAGGAGGAAGAGGAAGCCATGGGAGAATAATAACACCAGACAGTTAAGTGTTTAGACAGGACCTCAGTGACTCCATTAGATTCTCAGAGACCAGTATAAAGTTGACCATGTGGTGTCATTGAGCAGCAGAAGGCTGAAGGCAGGAAGAACTGTTCAAACCATGCTGTTTTGTCCCTTAAATAAATTATGTATTCTGCAGCTTCACACAGTGTCATTCTCTCACCTAATATGTATCATGATATTCATTCCCCCAACTTCTCTGTATGTTTGACACACATATGGAAAACAAGTACCTACACATTCATTTGATTCTTCACGCTACCAAGTATTTCTTGAGCCTTGCCTATGTGTCCAGCTATGTGTCAGGTGTTTCTAAGAAACAAAAGACTTACTCATCCATCCTGCTCAAGAAAATAAGTTGGATACGTCAAAGCTAGTCTACATGGAATAATAATAAACCTTTTCCCATAGTGTACTACAATGAACAGTATACTTTTTTTCATTACTTTTTTGAAGGCAGCATTAGCTCTGTGTGTGTGTGTGTGTGTGTGTGTGTGTGTGTGTGTGTGTGTGTGTGTGTGTGTGTGTGTGTGTGTGTGTGTATTGGGGCTTGAACTCAGGGTTTCAAGCTCTTACTAAGCTTTCTTGCTCATGGTTGGTGTTCTACCATTTAAGCCTCACCCCCAGTTACATTTTTAACTGGTTAATTGGAGATAAGAGTCTCTTAGATCTAGGTACTGTTTGTTCATGCCTATGAGGAGGCTGATATCTGGTGCTCGTCCTTGGGCTTGAACTCAGGGCCTGAGTGCTGTCATTGAGGTTTTTGTGCTCAAGGATACTGCTCTACCACTTTGAGCCTGGTGCCATTTCCAGCTTTTGGTACTTAGAGATAAGAGTCTCACAGACTTGCCTGTCCAGTTTGGCTTTTAACCACAGTCCTTAAATCTCAGCCTCTGAGTAGCTAGAATTAGAGGCATGAGCCATTGATGCCTAGCTGCAATACTCTTAATCTCCAGTTAACCACCAATAAGCCAGAAGCAAAGTTGTGGCTCAAATGGTAGAGGGCTAACCTTGAACAAAAAAGCCTAGGAACAATGGCCAGGCCCTGAGTATAAGCTCTAGGACTGACATGAAAAAACAATTATCTCTTGGATTTTCTGCCAGTCTGGCTTCAAACCACAATCGTTAGATTTCAGCTTTTTGAGTAGTTATAATTACAGGAGAAAACCACCAGTGCCCAGCTGAAGTACATTGCAGGAATCAAAAGAATGATGTTAATCTAGATTGTAGTAAAAAAGGGAGGGCTCTGTGGAAGAAATACTTGGTTATACTGGACATCAAACTCATTGTCTCACATATGCTGGACAACTCCCTATTTCATATATATATATATATATTTTTTTATTTTTATTTTTATTTATTTTTTTTTTTTGCTCAAGGCTAGCACTCTGTGACTTGAGCCACAGCTCCACTTCCAGATTCTTCAGCTAAAGGTGAGCACTCTACCACTTGAGCCACAGTGCCACTTCCGGTTTTCTACTGGTTTATTGGAGATAAGTGTCTCACGGACTTTCCTGCCTGAACTGGCTTTGAACTGAAATCCTCAGATCTCAGCCTCCTGAGTAGCTAGGATTACAGGCGTGAGCCACCGGCACCTGGCTACTTCCAGCTTTTTAATGGCTAACTGGAGACAAGAGTCTCATGGACTTTCTAGCTCGGGCTGACTAACCTATGATCCTCAGATCTCATCCTCCTGAGTAGCTAGGATTATAGGAATGAGATACCAGTGCTTCAGCCTCTAGCTCAAGCTTATTTTAATCAGTAAAAAGTCTTTGTGTGTATGTTTTTATTCAGTAAACTTTGATGAATGGGAACTGCTAAGGTGTAAGATTTTTTTTTGTCTGTATGTGCAAGTCCTTGGGCCTGAACTTAGGACCTGGGGGCTGTTACTGAGCTTTGTGCCAACGCTAGTGCTCTACCACTTGAGTCACAGCTCCACTTCTGGCATTTTTGCTTGTTTATTGAAGATAAGAGTCTCATGAGTTTCCCAATCAATCTGGCAAGTGTCTCGATCATCAGATCTCAGCCACCTTAGTAGCTAGGTTTATAGATGTGAGCCACCGGTGCCTGGTTTCAGTGTGGTTTTGATTCACATTCCCTTAATGGTGAATAATACTGAATATCTTCACATATGTGTGTGTGTGTTTTTATGGTACTAGTGTTAGAACTTGGGGCCTCATACTTGCTATGCTGGCAAGATACTGCTGAACCACACCTCCAGTTCTTGTCCATGTCAGAAAGCTTGAGCTGTGATCTATGCCATAATATACCTATTATTGATCCACCTACAGACTCTTGCAGAATTGTTTTTGCACGGTCTGGCATTGAACCTCTATGCTCCATTGTCTGCCTCAAAGTAGCTAGGATAACAGGCTTGAACCACCTTGCCTGGCTGTAAATACCTTCTATATTATGGGTTGTCTTTTCATTTCCTTTATGGTATCCTTCAATACATTAAAGTTTAATTTTGGTGAAGTCCAAGTTACTATTTTTATAGTTGCTTATAATTTTTGTATTTATTTATTTTTATTAATTGGTTGTACGAAGAGGTTACAATTCAATAAATCAGGTCATGAATACAACGCTTCTTGGTCAGTGTCACCCCTTCCATCATTCTCCATTTTTCCCCTCCCATCCCTACCTAAGTTACATAGTTAAATGTTTTTTGTTTTTTTTTGGGTTCCGTCGTGGGGCCTGAACTCTGGGCCTGGGCGCTGTCCCTCAGCTCTTCAGCTCAAAGCTAGCGCTCTACCACTTGAGCCACAGCGCCACTTCTGGCTTTTTTCTTTTTTGCTTATGTGGTGCTGAGGAATCGAACCCAGGGCCTCAAGCATGTAAGGCAAGCACTCTACCACTGAGCCAACTTTCCAGCCCCATAATTAAATGTTTACATAATGTACATCAGCTATAATGACAGCTTTTGCTCACCCTTCCTCCGTTTGTGTACTGCCCTTTATTGTCCCCCTATAACATGTTTGAGACTCCAGATATTTATTTTGTTAAATAGTTTGTTAGCTGTTCAAAGAAATTACACCATATACTTTTGATGTTGCAGCCAAGAAACCATTACCAGGTCCATAGGCATGAAGATATGCTATGCCCCTGTGTTTTCTTTGAAGAATTTTATAATTTGAGCTTTTATATTTAAGGCTTTATGCATTTTATATTATATGATTGTATGGTTACAACTTTATGATTTTTGGATATTTTGTGTGTGTGAGCCAATCCTCGAAGTTGAACTCAGAGTCTGAGCATTGTCCCTGAGCCTTTTTGCTCAAGTCTAGATACTTTAGCACTTGAACCACAGTTCCACTTCTGACTTTTGGTGGTTACTTGGAGATAAGAGTTTTACAGACTGGGCTGGGAAGGTGGCTCAGTGGTAGAGCTCTTGCCTTGCATGCCTGAGGCCCTGGGTTCAATTCCTTAGCACCACATAAGCAAAAAGAAAAAAGCCGAAAGTGGCGCTGTGGCTCAAGTGGTAGAGTGTTAGCCTTGAGCTGAAGAGCTGAGGAACAGTGCCCAGGCCCAGAGTTCAGGCCCCACGACAGTACCCAAAAAAAAAAAAAAAGAGTCTTATGGACCCTCCTGCCTGGGCTGGCTTCAAACTGCAAACCTTAGATCTCAGCCTCCTGAGTAGCCTGGATTACCTGGCCAACTTAATCCTTTTGTTTTTTGTTTGTTTGTTTTGGGTGCGGTCTTGGGCGCTGTCCCTCAGCTCTTCAGCTCAAGGCTAGCGCCACAGCGCCAATTCCAGCTTTTTTCTTTTTGCTTATGTGGTGCTGAGGAATCGAACCCAGGGCCTCAGGCATGCAAGGCAAGAGCTCTACCACTGAGCCACCTTCCGAGCCCCAACTTTATCCTTTTGTAGTTATCCTGGAACCATTTGTTAGAAATACCAATATTTCCTCATTGAATTGTCCTGGCACCCTAGTTGAAAATATAATTATTGTTTCTTTGCTAGTCCTAGGGCTTGAACTCAAGGCCTGGGCCATGAGCTTCTTTTGCTCAAGGCTAGCATTCTACCACTTGGGCCACTTCCTGCTTTTTCTGTTTATGTGGTACTGAGGAACCCAGGGCTTCATGAATGCTAGGCAAGCACTCTACCACTAAGCCACATTCCCAGCCCATATAATTAGTTATAACTGTAGTTTAGCAAGTATCTTTTAAGTGGAAATTTGAAGAATGAGGAATTTATATGAGCATAGAAGTGTAGGAAGAGCTAGATTGAGGCAAGGAATGTTGTTCTTTTAGCTTTTTTAATTTTAAAGTCCAGAAGTAATACATTACTACTTAAAAAAAAAACATCAGCTGGGGGCTGGGAAGGTGGCTCAGTGGTAGAGCGCTTGCCTTGCATGCTCGAGGCCCTGGGTTCAATTCCTCAGCACCACATAAGCAAAAAGAAA